CCACATTTCAGTCATGCAATTTCTGTGCGCAGATCATAAATATACGATATTTCTAAGTCTAAGTCCAAGTTGTCTGAATCCAAAGACTTTTAGAAGTAGATTTAACAGTTCTGACAAATAAACTTTGAAGGGCCTTATACTGCCTCTTCATTATATGATGCTGAAGGAAACTGGCAAAAGACAAGATATGAGGCTGGTAGCATCAATTCAAAAACCTAAAACATTCAGAGAAAGAAAATTACTTAAAATATTTATTTTAAAGTAAAATTAGTTTAGAGAGAAATGTAAAAAAAAGGATCTGATGTAAAAGTGGGGCAAATGAAGACTACAAACAAATATAATTAAGAAACTCATAACAAAAGAAGGATAGTATCATGACCCCCTTGTTCCCTCAGATTCTTTCACAGTATTTTAAGTTTCACCAAGGAAAATGGACTGATAACAGTATAATTAAGGGTTATGTAACATACTAGACAAATTCTGTCAAGTAAAAATGATCTCATATAAAATGTCTCAAAATTCCTGACAGTTGCAGTAAGATACATTACAATTCCATTTTATTTGAATAATAGCAACTTGTAAACAAGATAAATAGGTGAGATAAAATTTCCACTGACAAACAAGAGTGGTAACTATTAAGGTTAGATGACAAATAATCTAGTAATATCTATTATGAATCTTAGGAAATTACTTTGTATTTTACACTACCATACTTCAGTCAGGTTCAAGGACTAATCTTGATCTTGTAAAATTTGAGTAAGAGATCTATGTGGAATATTTAAATTACCAGTATTTTTAGAAGCTTGTCTCTATGGTCAATAAAGAAAAGGAAACATTTCTAATTAAATCAGAAAAAATGCATTAAATGTAGGATTTATAGCAATTGAGATCTCTAGAATGCAACAGGAGGACAAGGCAGCTACTCTGGATTAGTTATAGTCAAGTCACAAGGATAAAACAGCTTGCAGTGATTAGAGCACAAATCTGAAGCACTTCTGTGGAACACCCTCCAATTTGGTTTAAACTGGAAGAAGCCTATTTCATGCCCTGGAAATCTTCTAGTTCAAGAGGTTGTCAACTAGTTGTGAGAAAAAAAAATTGTCTCTTTTGCTTTTTCTCTCCTGCTTGACCTCACAAAACCAGAAACATTAATACAATACTAAGATCCTTTGGAAGCATTTCTCTGGTACTTCTGCGTTTCAAGAATTTAAAAAGTGAAGATATTTTTCTCATCTTTTTAAAGATCAAATTTACTGGTCTCACATGAACGTTTTTTGATGTTTAGTACACTATAAAACAAAAATCATCACAGCTCTGCTTTTCAGAAGTTACTAGAATCATAATTTCTCATGTTGCATACATTCGATATCCAAACACTGTTGTGTGTTAGGGTGTTATATATCATGAAACATCAGTCCTTTTCTGGCAACTCACTCACAATTCTCGCAATACTTTTGAATGAGAAGAACATCAATGACCAGTAAGTACAGAAGTCCAAAATAAACTATCAATCATCTTTGCAAAGAGCTTAACAATGCTACTGAAAGGCTGAAGCAACAGCCATTAAAGAAAATCTTGCTTTAAACTCTAAACTAAAAGGTTTTGAAAGACACAGCTACTCTCAAGACTTACAATTGTTAAAAAAATAACTTCTGAGTGAAACTGTCTATGCTGGAGATATAATTTCTTCAGTTATTACAGGCCAGAGATTTTTTTATCAGAGCCTGCCTCCTTGTGTCTGTAGAATAACATCTCAAAGCAGTCAAACAGTTAAGACTCGTGTAAGTTTTCAACATAAAAAGTTATTTTATTGACTACCAATTACTTATTTGTCTTTTGCTAGACAAGCAATGTAGCATAGTTTTCTGGTATTCCCTTATACCTGCTGAATCAGCTGACCTTTACTGAACCTGAAATAGCTACATACATTAACCATTAAGGGCCTAATCTCTTTTAAGGAGAATTATTTTGTGAGACCATGTCTATGTTCTAAGTAGAAACATAAATATGTTCTAAGTAGAACAGATTTAACAACCAAGTAAATTTATACTTGCTTCCTGACAGTATGTATGATATTTTTATTGCTTCAGTCAATTATGTCCATCTACTAACGTTAGAGCTAAAAAAGCAACAGTTTACACACAACATATAAAGGTACTGATCATATGCTACTTGGAATCTGAATACCTAAAAAGGAGGTTAAGCACAAAGGTTTTGTAAGGAATACACAGGACTATCGGCAATAAACCCATTTTTTAATATTTGCAGTGTTTCTAAGAAGTACCACAACAAAAAGTATCTGTGATGTGTTACAGCATACAAGAACATAATTTTCCTTCCACATTTTATTTCTCATGGGGAAAATCATTCGGCAGTTGAAAAATACAAATAATCCCTGTTGTAGCTATTCACACTGTGTAAGACAGATTCATGTTCATTAAATTACAGTTTCTTTAAATCAATGTACACCAGCATATCAAAAAAGCACCCCAAGTCACTGTATCCTGTTCCTTGTCCTCTGTGCGGGAGTACAGCTGTTTAAGCAGCAGTGAATTGGCCTGGATGAAAAATAGCTTATTATTGGCTTTCATCATACAATTGCATCAACATTCACTTCTCAAGCACACTAGGGTTGGGAATGAGAGGCCAGAGAAGGACTACAGTATCTTCTTTAGGTGGCACTACTGATTTATGCTAGCTTAATGCTTAATATGTGCTATACCCCGAAAGACATAAGAGATAAAAATTTAAAATGGTGTATGCAAATAAAACGTGTAACTGCCATTTAAACTCCCAGCTTTAAGAGTGCACCATATACCACCTCTCACGGATGCTGATGAGAGACAAAAATATTAACAAGGCAGTAAGTAGTTACTCCTGATAATTTTATTGCTAAGCTGTAGGAAGTAATATTTTAAGCTGTAAACACATCTTGTCAGAGTTTTGCTTCTGATGTTCAAATTAATTTGTGTCACAGCTCTTATTATCAGAAATATACAAGAGGAATTTACCTAAAATGAACATAAATCAAAACCTAGCAAACATATGTCCATACTGACAACTACTGTGCCATGGAAACATTAATAATACTAGGACCAAAGCTTTGTTAGAGGTATGAGACACTATGTCAACATTCCAAAGCCATAAACACGTCAGACTGGCAGTTACACCCATCAGATGAACAAAAGTCAGATGGTTCTGCCTCACAGAGTGGCTGTGCAAGCAGCCTTGTGATGGAACATGCAGCACTGACCCATCACACGAGCTGTCACTGCAAGGTCCCCTCTGGCTGCTGGGACACGCCAGCCTCCTGGTCCCAGGACACACACAGTGCCAGGCACGCACCTGCAGATCAGGCTGGTGGAGAAGCGCCAGCACAGAGAACACCACATGTTCCAGCACGCACCGAGATTTCCTCACACTATTCCCTCTGCACAATACATTATAGAAAATGTATAGAGCTCCTCTGAAACACATTTCAAAGGCTAAACAAAGAGATGTTCACTTTTTTCACTGAAGCATCTAATGAGAAACACTGCTTTAACTCTACTTAAATCTGCATTGCTTTCAAAATTTTACCTGAAAAGTATACTGAAATTTTTTTGTATACTCAGACCTACATTTTTAAAAACCTATCTTTTTATTAAAGCTTTTATTATTCATTGAATGCTAGAAGTATATACAGTACACTTTTTTAAAAGTAGCAATATTAATAATTAATACTTTGGGATTTCACATAATTGTTCTAAACCCACAATGTTAAAAATTAATGGCTCATAAATCTTCTTGCTTCAAAGCCAGAATTAAATGAAGAAAAAAAATGCTATGAAGCAGGAGTTCTGTATTTTAGTCAATCCAGACAAACTCATCCACCATGGGAGGAAATAAGTGTCACCAGTGGAACACTGGTGAAAATTAATTCTTCTCCTTTGTGTATTTAAAAGAACAAAGGATCTGAGCAACACCTAACAGATTTTTCAGAGCTTTCTGAAGCTCCAATTTCATGAATTCATACTTACAAATTAAACTACATCTATTTTTTAGCTCTTTTTGAAGACAAGCCAAATAAACCCCTCAGATGACCTTTCATCTCAATAAAAAGAAAAAAAACCAACACTGTGACTACACACCTTCCTTCCCCTTAAGGGTGGGTCGTCACAAACATAAACAGACATTTCTGGTGATCTCAGGCGTTTTCCCAGTGTGGTTTAACTGTAACAGGAATTTAAGACTAACAGCAGGCTCGCATTTCTTAGTTCGCTGTGAAAAGTCTTTTAGAAAGGCTCACAGTCCACTCTGACGACCATCAGCTTAGAAGCCATGCCAGCTTAAAAAAACTGCCTACTAATTCGGAAGGTTTACAGTAAGGTTTTGCTGTGTTCATTTCACTGAAACAAAAAAAACCCCCTTTGAGAACCCTGAGAAGGTGACAAAGCCCCACAGAAAATAAAATGAACGCTACTGGCAAGACTCTCAAACCCTTAACTCTTACTCAGATACACAGGACAGAAAGGAGGTCTTTTCTGGAGGAGAAAAACTACGAAAAGGCTCTTGAGTATTATTTTTTTTTATGCCATACTTGTTAGGGCTATCTCAACACTGATGGGACACTAGACTCCACACACGCGTGTCCAAGCACACACTCGGGCTGCCAACATACCCACCCCGCCCGCGAAGAGCCTTTAGCTCTACAACGGGGCAGAGCCCACGGGGGGCGGGTCGGGCAGGCACCGCGACCCCCCTGCACCGCCCAGAGGTGGGGCCTTCCCACCGCCCCCGGGAACTCGGCACGTCCCACGGGCCCCCCGGGCGGGCAGGACAGGGGAGGGGAGCGCAGGGGAGGGCAAAGGAAGGAAAGGAGGGAGGGAGGGGCTGTCCACCAGGCGCCGCGACTGGCGGCCGGGACAGGGGGGGCGGTGGCCGGGCCAGGGACCGGCGGGGCGGGGCGGAGCGACGCCGCGGCCTCCTCCTCCTCCTCCTCCTCCTCCTCACTCACGTACAGTAGTAGGCCACCACGGGCTCGCGCTTGTCCAGCTCCTGCGCGGTCCGCAGGTGGTGCTGGATGCTCCTGAGCGGCGGCGGCAGCGGCGGCAGGGCCGGGGCCGGGGCCGCCATGGCTCTCGCTCCCGGGGCTGGCGCGCGCCGCTTCCGCTTCCGGCTCCAGGCGCCGTGGGCGGGGGCCGGCGGGTGAGGAGGGGTGGGCGGGAGCAGCGCCCCCTGCTGGGCGGGCGGGAGGCAGCGTCCCGTCCGTCCGTCCGTCCGACAGGCCGTGGCCACCCGCAGCCTCAAGCGCCACCTACGTGGCCCCTTAGTGCTTGAAACGCGTCCCACAGCAGCCGTGAGGAAGGGCCTGGGGACCTCGGGGCGGCCGCGGCTTCCCTTGGCCCTGCCCGGCCCCGGCTGTGCCCTCGCTGACGCCCTTCCCATCCCTCTTGTCTCCCTTCCCAAGGAGCTGTGCAGACCCTCCCTGTGGAGGTACATGGCTAGGTACATGGCTAGGCTTCGCGAACGAAGATTTGAGAAGGGCTCTACCCACACTTGCTGCAAGCACGCTGATGGCTACAAAGGCCAATGCGAGATAGACAAGTCTGGTTGCAGAAGGCACAGCAGAAAGACTCCCCAGGTGATATCGACGAGACGCGATTCTTTCTGCGTTGTCTTTTCTGCTCGAGAGTGATCCTGTGTGTGTTCTCACAAGCAGCAGCAGCGTTATAGATGGTGTGTGTCTCCAGGCCTCCCGACTGGAGGCCAGGGTAGACCAGTGGTGGTGATCAATATGGCCAAGGCTGAGGGATTGTTTCAGGCAGTCCTTGCATCTCCTCTTCAGGGCTCCTCTCTTGCGGCAGCCAGTGGCAAGTTCCCCATAGAGGACGATCTTAGGGAGGCGGTAGTCCTGCATCCTGGAGACGTGCCCTGCCCAGCGCAGCTGTAGAGGTACACCTGGAAGTAAAATCTCTGATCGAGAAACCTGCCCCTTGGGCTGCGCCAAGCCTCACCAGGCGTCCAGGGAGCCCTCGGCAGCTGAACTGCACCTTCTCTGCTGGACCTCTGCCCTTCATCTTGCTGGAGAAGCCATATGCTACCATGACCTGGCAAATAGGGCTGGGTTGCTTCCCAGCAGCTGTCAGCAGGTCCACTAGCCCTGGAACGTACATCTTGTAGGATCACTACTTCCCAGATAACTTCTTACTGGAGGGACCCCCAGGGATTTCTGGTTTTGCTGAGAGCAGATAAGAACAGCAAAAGAAATGTGAACTGTTGAAGCAAAATGGTTTCAGGTGGATCTCACAAATTATTGCAATATTAATTATTTCAGTGTCTATCAGCTTCTCATTCTGACAGCATAATTAAAATAATTTTAAAATTTCTTTTATATAGCCCTATTGCCAGATGTCTTCCTGGTCTCAAAATGACTATCTGCAAGGCAAGAGAATGTCAGTGCTCCAGGGCATAAAGAAAGATGTGTGTTGGAGGGAAGCACGGGGTAGAAGAGGTGGCTATGTTGTCTCATTTCTGGCATGGGAGAGTGCTGAAAAGAGAACAGAAGGAAAATGATGTCTGAACAGAAGAAAGGATGCCAAGAAGGGAACAGAACAAGGAGCGGTTACAGGACTGGGAGGATATTGTGGTGCTATACTAGAAGCTGGCTGGCCCACAGCAGCTATATCTTTGATGTAAATGCAATCACATCAGAATTACAGCTCATTGTTAAGTGAAAACTAAAATGGTCGTGATGGCTGACTAGAGACAAAACCGACTACAAACACATGAGCTGGGGATTGCTTTGAGTGCTGTCTGTGAAAATGAGGTGGCTCAAGTATAGTGGAGAACAATGAAAAAGTCAGAGAAGCACTTAACAGTGTGAACCTGATGTAAGCAACAAAAATGCTTCCTCAGTGTTCTGGGAGACAGGACTTCATGTTCACTGTGTAAAGAAATAGAATAGAATCAAAGAATCCCAAAGTGGATATAATTCCTTTCATAATGGCAATAAAACCCCAAACCTTCAGATCATCTCAAATATATGCTAAGCATTTGAGTTAAAATCAGTGCAACACAGAGAAAGAAACACATGAAGGCATATCAGTCTCAGAGGGAGTAAGGGTGGAAGGAAGCTGATAGAAAACAATGTAAATGAGGATTAAAGTGGTGGGAGTTTGGGAGACCAGGCTAAAGAAAAGTTTAGAGACACTTGAGAGTACAATGAATGCCAGGAAAACAAATGGCAAATATAGGAAAGAGAAGTGTTGACAACCATGGGGAAATGGTTTCTTTACATGAACATAATATCTCCATCAACTTGTTCCAGAAACTAATAACAGAATCAGTCACAGAAAAACATTTGCACTAAAAGGCAATAATACACATTTTGTTTCTAAATGAAAATCTGAGGAATCTGACAATTTTAATTTCACAGGTAATGCAAGAAAAAAAATTGGTGTTGTATCTCATTTGCAAGAAGGAAAGTTTTTAATATGTTCCAGATTTTGACCACCAAGGGAAAGGAGATGGTGCTGGGTAATCCAGCTCCTAAAGTACCCCTTGGGGTCCTAAGGCAGTCCCATGATAGTACTTGTTCTTCAAGGCTCTTGGTGTTTAACAAGGACATCCCCAGAGGGCTTGGGGGTTTTGGCACTCCTCTGACCTGCCTGAAGTGTTTGGAAATCTACGCTACAGAAGAAGAACAGCAAGCAATGGAAATATTAAGCACCAGGGAAAATACTGACAAGGTTGTGATTAAGTTATTTTATTACTATACAAATATCTGATTAAGAGTGATTTGTGTACCACTGATCACAACTGTACCTAGCACATGAAAGTAAATTCTTCTTTTTAGTAGTTCTATGTATTGTATTCTTTCATAAATAAAAAAGGGGTTTTTACCAGAGATTACAAATTTCAGTTGCAAAGAATAATTCCAGATGGATACTGACATATACAGTGAAAAATTAAACATGTATCAACCAAAGCACATGGCACATTATGCAAACAAGAAATTAGCACAGTGATTTTTATTCCACTTGTAATGCTTGCAAATATAAAATAACTTACAAGTAAGTTTAATATTGCACAAATCTGATGGTTTTGACTGGACATTTATTTAAGACAACATGTATCTTATTTCCGTAGGGAAAAAAATAACATTAATGATTTAATGTAGTGAATGCATTGAAATATATCATCTTGTTCTTGATCAGCATATTAAAAAAATCACACATCTAGTTGTCACTCACTTTGTTTTAAATGGCCCAGTTTCAATCAAATCCAAGACACCTAAATCATTCAATTCCATTTATATAATGAGGACTACTTTTGTGGGGGAGAATTACAAGGTGAGGATTACAATCTTGTTTGGGACTGCTTAAGTAACAGTTGGTGCTAAAACATTTGGTAATAATTTTCCCAGAATTTTCCAAATATTCCCTAAAAGACCCAAATGTCACTGGGATCTCAACTTTTTATGTTTGAAAAACAAATGGAAAATAGCTAACTGTTATGTTTGCTATTTTTAGATATTTCATACAGGAAACTACCTCCTCCTTTCTTTCTGGTTCTAAAATCTGTTTTATTTTCATTATCTCACTTCAGCACAAGGAAATCACTTGTAAATTTAATATGTTTATTAAGCTTTAAGAAGAAACTGTCGCACACAAAAATATCTGATCCCTATATAAAGTTTGGAGCCCCTGGTGGTCTAGTGGTAAGGGCGCGGCGCTGTCACCGCTGAGACCCGGGTTCGATTCCCGGTCAGGGCCACTCCCGGGCTGATGGAGCTCGTTAACCCTTAAAAAAAGGCAATCCATCTACGTCCTAAGGACCTCGCTGCCACCGTCCAAGCTCGCTTGGCCCCGGCAGATGAACCTTAGGATTAAAGGGTGGGCTCAGTTCCACGCACACTGTGTCTCACCTAAAAAATCCAATGCGCAGGCTGGAAGGTGGAAAGACCTTCCCCGGATCTTCGCTCGCGAAGACTGGCCATTATATAAAGTTTGAAACCTAATCTAACCACATACACTTATTGCATAGAATAATTTTAGTATGCAGACTTCTTTTTTAGCTGTTATTCTGCAACTTTAGTCAGAGCAAGAAGTTAGATGTGGCATATCCAGGAAAAGATTCTGTTGGCCCAATTCTGCAGTTACACACAAGCAAAACTCTCACTGAAATCAAGTCATTATTGGGCCTAGAGAAGGTTTATCTCTGAGATTTTATTTTGACAATTGTAAGCCTCTTATGCAAAATTAAGTCAGAAAGCCCTTTTACTCCTTCAAAAAGGGAACATACTAAATTGTTAAAAACCTTCTACATCTTAAGCCAAAACATAAGGAGGGTAAGGCATTCCAGTCAGCACAAAGAATACCATGTGACTCTCTCACTTATAAAAGGAGATTCCCAGCCAGCAGGTGACACTAGCTGGACCACTACAAAGCAAGCTGGTATTGATGGATATGTTGTCCCCACAGTTTTAACAAGGAGTCTCTGCCCTAGGGATCTGAGATGCAGGTTGCAACAGTGGCACTGATTGGGAAGATGCTCTAATGCGTTCTGGTACTCAGAGATTATTGACCATTACCACTTAATTCTCAAGCCATAAGAACATGTAAGAAATTTAGAATAGTTTTTCTTGGAAGGTCAATAACCTTATTAGTGCCAATTGCATGCATTAAGAAAAGCTGTGAATAACAGTACACTTATAAATTACCTCCTCCTCACATACAGACACTCCTCTAGAAGCAGAACTATTGTTTGTGGCAGGTCATGAAAATACGTTACTCCTGTAAATCTTACTGTCTTTGATCTTGACGTGGAAACAAAGATTATTCACATAATATGGTAGTTTTTAGATAAGGAGTAAATGTCAGATGACTATTCTGCAGCAGTAATCATGAATGAAGTTCTCTTCTGCAACACTGCATAGAGGACAGGAGATGTTTTTTGTTATGGTTTGAAATAATTTTGATAAAACTACAGGTGGACACGGTGGTAAATGAGTGGGAGTGGTTGACATCACTGAGTTTTTAAGAAACCTAGCCTTCTACATGAGATCTCAAAAATTTCAGCAACACACAAGATCATTGTAATCACAGTAAATGTATACATTGCAATAAGAAAAATTGTCTTTTCAAAGTGCTCTGGCACCATGCACCGGGTAATGTTGAACTTTTTTTCAAGTGCTCCCACATCACACATGTAGATTGCATTCACTTTGAAACCAAAGAGCCGAATCTGAAGCCAAAAAGCAACAACTTCAAGAACAATCCTTAAGAAAACAGAGAAGATATAAAAACCCGTGTAGGATGACTTCTGGAGAATATCTTCCTGTTTGACGCTCTTACATGCAGCATAAAGGTGAAAAAAGGCTCCAGGTACCAGTACAATCACCAGCTGTAATGCCCAGAATACCTAAAATGTAGCAGAAAGGCGGCTGTCAGATCATTTACAACTGCATAGGGACAGTTAAAATCCACACATATTGGAACATTTTGCAAGTCTGCTTTTAACATATATTATATGTTTAAACACTTAAATGACAATAAAGGTAAAAGTGACTGTTATGTTTTGATTTGAAAACTTCAGTTGGTTTCTGAAACATAAGGATTGTTGTTAGGAAGGACAGAAAGCACTAATCCACATTTAGTCACAGACAAATTGTTATTAAAAGGAAAATACTAATGAAAAAAAGATAGGGATAATTAGCCCAGTCAGTTACTACTTCTTATATGGAACACTCATGTTTAAATTTTGCAGTTTATTTTCTTAATATTAGATTTTTTACAATTAAAAAAACCCAACCAAACAAAAAAAGATAAGTTACCTGAGGAGTTATAGGCCTGAACTGGTTGTAACAGAAAAGATTAACCTCTCTCTTGTCTGGGTCACAGCTGAAATGCAAGGCCTCATTTCCATAAACAGCAAAGCCCAAAACGCCAAGGAAAAACATTCGAATTGAGCCAAAAAAAAGAGTGTGGAATTGGCCAATTACCGTTGGTGGCCTGAGCTGCAAATCACAGGGTTATTCACCATAAAAACAAAAATGAACATTGTTATTGTTGGAGGTCTACTTGCTCTTTTTCATTATCCAAAATATTTATTTTATTCTACTTGTTTTAAAAGGAGTTTGACTATGAAGGCCACAGTAGCTTTCTAACAAAATAATGGCCTACAACACTTTTATTGTTCCTACTAATTTATATAAACGCTCATTTGTCTAGCACTTGTCAGTTCATTTGTTTCACTGCCTTTATCTGTATTCCAGTGCTGCAGAACGCGCCAGACGGAGCTGAGCGCTTCGACCCCAAAGTCTATTCGTTTTGCTGTTGACATGATGTCAGGTGATGCCAAAGCAAGGACCGCCGTGCCACCATCAAACACGACCATACTTATAACCATACTTATTCCTGCAAATTAACTTTCAGGTCCCCACTCGAGCCCCCCTCAAGCCGCCCTCAGCGTCCCGCCCGGGCAGCACCGCTGCGCTGTGCTCGGGGGCTGCGGGCGCTGCGCGGCCCCCGCCCGCTTTGGGGCCGGACCCCGGCGACGGGCAGGGCCGTGGGGAGCCGCCCCCGCGTACTCACACATCCCTCCGAGAAGCTCCGGATGTAGTTGGGGGACATGTCTGGGAAGGTACCCTGCGTGGGCCGGAGCCGGAGCCGTAGACCTCCCTGGCCCCGGCCCTGGCCCCGGCTCGCTCCGCCCTTTGTCCCCGGGCGGGCCCCCGCGGTCGGGCCGGCAGCGGGCGTAGCAAAAGCGGGGTCGGCTGGCGCCGGACGATAATCCCGGGCCAGCACCGTCAGCAGCACCGGCCGCCACCGCCGCCCCCCTGCCGGCTGCTCACCTGCCCCTGCCCCGCCGCCTGACGCCGGCTTTTCACCCCCGCTGTACCCAGCATCACCCCGGCCCGGACCGGTCCCGGTTAAGAACGCGGCGCATCGCTCTCGGGAGGACCAGAGACCCAGAGGGCCGGAACACCCAGAGTTTAATAGCTTCTTTTTAACTAAGTCCAGTAAAAAAGAAAGGGTGCAATAAGACTTGGAATCTGTTGGTCCACGATTCTAAATTCAAAGAACTAGCAATTGAATTAAATACTATTAACCACTCCAAAATTGCTATAAATAACTTAATGGCTATAATTGCTATTAATAATTTGCCAGCTTACTCAGTGTGTGCAGTTGAAAGATTTCTAGAAGAGCTAGGCATGCGAGCCCATGCAGACACCAGACACTCCTGCTGGTAAATAGCCTCAAGGATGTACCTCAACTCAGTAGTTTGAACCCAGTGGGAGTTTTACGAGAAGATGTAGAGGAGGAAGGAGATGGGAAACCAGTAAAGAGGAAATGCTAACTTGTCAGTCCCTGGAGCACAATAGTTTATTTGGCATTCTGAGTTGCACAAGAAAGTGAAATCCAGATAAAAAAATCCAAAGAGGGGTATTTATTCTTTTGCCTTTATTGTGAGAGAGCCTCCCTTGTAACTGGTTGCAGCGTGACTTCAGGCTGATGTAACAAAATGCATTGTTCCCTCTGTAATGAATGCTCGTAGGCATGGAAGCCTAGGCAGAAGGAGAGGAGAGAGGGGAATCACGGTTCATTTTATGTATGGATTTAGCTGTTGTGTGTGTACAAGGTACCTCAGTGTGACTGTATTAATGACATCATTGAAATAACTGTTGTAAGACATCAGAACACTCTTTGTAAGGGGAATCTGCCCTGCGTCTGCTGAAGTAGCTCAATTGCAAAGATGGTGCAAAATGCTTCAATAAGTACATGTTATTTCTAGTTCAGGCAGTTAATGAAATATCTGTTTATCTCATGGAGTACTGTAAAAGGTGCTGTATCAGTAACACTGAGACTGGGTTTCCAAACTTTTTATAATGCAATCTGCTGCTCTGCTGCATAGAGTGATTGCTGAGGTTTGCGTATGTGGAATGAACTAAAAGCAATAATGCCTCATAGCAGTATGTAATCCACAATAAAGTACTGTGGTTCTCAGACTGTGTGACTAACCTTCACCAAAATGCAGTAACTGTGATTACAGTGAATTGTTTTTCAATACATAATACATCTGGAGCTTAATTATCATCCCAAAGTAATTTGAATGGTCCCACAATACTATGAAATGACTAAATTAGCTCAGCACACTGGGGAGATGTTTAATATCAGTAATATTTCAGTAATTTCACTATTTAAAATGTGAATTGCTATTGAAAACCTGCTGTTGAATATACCTCAAAAAATACTGGTTTTGGTATTTATTAGGATCTCTTTAAGCAGAAATGTTTATAAATGCAATAATTAGAAAACTGAAAAACTACTGGTTTCTAAATGGAGATAGATCTTTCAATGCTTTTCATTATGCTTGGTGTAGTAGTAGTTATTTACACATTAATCAAAGCACATGAACCCACAATAGTCATGGAGTTTGGTCAGCATTTGATTCCACTATAGATAGAAACAATATTTAAGAACACATTTTAGGTAAAAAGCTGCACTATACAAATGCTACTTTGTATCTTGTTATTTTTATGTGAGGATCATGTAATTACTTGCCTGACTAGATCACCTAATCTATGACAATCAAATCATTCTCTGTAGAACTTCAGAAACAGCACTATGGAAACTTGAGTTTCTCTCCTATGATAAAGACGCTGAAAGAAGAGTTAGCTGGCAATGCCCTGATTTAGTTCTGAAAACACATAAGGAATACAGCTGCACTGAACTGAAAAAAAAAAAAAGAATTCTGGAGAGATCGTGAAATAAACCCACTACAAACCCCATGAGTGTCTGCACTGAAACCCCACTGAGTGTGATAACTGTGCCCACAATAAAATTGTCACTTTCTTTGAAGTGGCTCAATACATGCCATATGAGATCAGGCACAGGAATCCCATTATCTTCGCACTAGGAGAAACTAATAGCAATGTTTTTCTTTTGTCATGTGTGTTCAACAATGTGCTTTGTAACACCACATTAGGAGGATAACTTGAGATGGAAGTAGAGTAAGTTGGCATTGTGCAGTCCTTTTGAATGTAGTCTGCTGATGAAACTCAAGACATTCCATTGGACTTTGTTGACAGAAAATCATTATTTGTTTTGAATCTATAGAAGCAGCTGTCTGGTAATTGTCTATCACAAACAAATGGGATGGAAGATGTTGATATCACACATGTTTCTAAGTCAGTCCTAAGCCTAGCTTCCAACTCAAGTTGGCAACTCAGCTATGTGCTCTTTAACCTTTTAATGAGTTGGAGTCCTACTGAATAATCAGAGTAAAACAAATGGAATCTAAATGTATGCATAAAGCTGCAGTTGTACTTAGAGGGGCGAGCTGTGTGTTTAACATTAAGCACCCAATTCATTGCTTTATTAGTATGGTTAAATGTAATGGCACCTATTACCCTTGTGCCATGAAAGAAGCAGCACCATGAAAATGGCACAAAAAATTGAATTGGTATCAATACAATAAGTTTTTATCTGCAAAAAGAGAGCTTGCATGCCTAAATGTTGGAAAACAGCTGCTTCTGCCAGCTTTCCAGCTTTGTCTAATGCTGGAAGCACCTGAATTTCCATTTTGCTTTGCAGAGTTGCCTGTGTTGAAGTTCAGATCCACTGGAAGCCTCTACCAGTTGCAGACTGGTGCCTGCACTTCAGTTTGGACCTGAGATGGAGGTTGCTTCACCTTCAGCTAGGTCAGGAGGCTTAGGAGTCAGGTGACTTCCTCAGATCCTCCTGACTGCTGTTGTATGTGTGGTGCAAAGTACAGCAGGCAGGATGCAAAGTCTGAGAGCTGAGAGGGGTGGACTAGTGTTTAGGTTTATTGGACAGGGATATGGCTCAGCCACACCACGCAGTCTGGGGAGATGTGTCATAAATACAGCTTCTTCTCCACTTTTTTAAAAAATTAATTCAAAATCAATTTAATCTAAAAAAATAAGACATACACATGATGAATCACGAGCATTCTTTTCTACACTCACTTTGTCCAGTCATACAGACTTAACAGGAAGAATTTCTATATTGGTGTTTGTTGGAGCTTTCCAGGCTGGGGAGGCCACAAACTTCTTGTAGCCTGGTGCTCCAAGGACATAGTACTGGTGTTAGACTGTGCCCAGTATTAACCATAGAGTGCAGGTATTTCTTCTGTTCCTTGGAGTCTTGAAGACGAAAGGACTACATGGCACATATCAGACTTATTTTATATTAGTTAGCTGCTGCTGCTGCTTAGAGCAGCTTGAACTCAGTATTTCTCTTTTCAACATATTTAGTTTTCTAGTTTATGCTATTTGTGACATTCTCCACACAAATCCACAACAATTCTTCTCTTTAGAATAATTCTTCTCATATCAGCTTCTCCCAGGGAGTGCACTGGCATTGCCTATGAGATGTTAAACTTCCAGTGCTATTTTACTAGTGAAAGAATTGTAGAGGCTTGATGTTTGGATGTCTAACCTTAAGAGTTTGAGCTCTGGCCTTAGAGATGTGATCTTAGAAACTGAACAATTGTCCTCCTTGACTCCAAACATGAAGTATTTTATACCCAGCTAAAGAGACCTTGTCTCCTTCCCTGTCTTTCTTTGACTCTGCCTACTCTTCCTAGCTGCTTCTTGAACCCACTTCTAGCTACCCACATAGGAACAGTGGCAAACCCTGTTATGTATTCTGAAACCTGGGGAAATTATCTACTTCAGTATCCTCTTGTCCTTTAAATAGAGCTCCTAACTCAAGAAGATGAAATGAAAATTTCTGCCCCAAACCCCTCCATTAAAATAGGAAGGCCTCTATTGAGAAGTAACAAGAAAGAAAATGAGTTACTTAAGGTTATTGTACATTTGACTGTCTGGAAGAAGTCCCTCTCTGTTACAATGCATGCCCACTTTTTCCAGCTGTGTCTGCTGGTCTAATGTGTGATACTACAAAATTTGTTGAAGGCTTGGTTCCTAATGCTCAGTGTTTAAAATCAAATATTATTTGTTCCTGGGTTGTTGTCATGTTTCTTTTAAATGTGTGACTGACGATCAGGCCTTCAAACATGACCTCTTCCAGGACTGCATTTGAACCTGGTTTTCATTTAATATGTAAGCACACATGCTGAATTAAAGGCTTCTTACTGCAGGTAGTTTTGGTGGCAGATATGCTTGAATTTTCATGGGACTACACAAAGCTTGTTGTGATGTGCAAATCTGGAATTAGCCCTGGAATTATCAAGTGACTTGAGATGCACAAATGTGGGAAAGAAGTGTTTTTCTCTGTCAGAACAACTTCTCTGTAGAGGCCGTTTATGAGGTGTGTGGACTTCCTCATTCCTACACAAATGGATTATGAATCCCTATGTTTGGGAATTACTGATGAAGTGGAATTACCTCTCATGTTTTCAAGTTGTTGTGGTTCCTGCCCTATGGTGTTGCACTCCCAGATACACTCCGTCTGTGCTGGCTGATTGTGCCTGTGCAGTTTCTTTCCCACTAAGAACACTTACCTGTGGCACTCTCTCCCTTGCTCTCGTGCCAAGTACTCCGTCACAGCTGCATGATGAGATTGTCTCAGGGCTGTAATCTGAAATAAGATCCAAAGACACAGGTGTACTATTTTGTTTGAAAAGAGAATGATGAACAGTTTGTATGTGGAGATCTGAATTCCGGCTGGTTTATGTCAGGGTCGGTGGATCTTCCCCCAACACCTCTTTTCCAATGCAGGAAATTATATTCATGCTAGTTGAGTGTGTTCCCTTGTCTTTACACAGACATCTGTTGAACAACACTAGGAGCATAATCTAAATTTTTGTTTTCTCGGAGCTGGAGTCACTCACTCCCTCCAAAGCTTATTTCCTTGCTGTTCAGAGTTCTGGAAAACATAGAGTAGATAAAATCAAGTACTGATAAAAATCAAGAACATAAATTCACACTGAAAATGTTTCTAATTCCTCAATCTTAGGAATTACTGTGGACTAAAGGACAGATAAAATTTATTAGGATAGAAGAAATTCTCCTGGAAGGCAGCACCAGGAGTGGTGATATTGTGCAACAAAAAGCAAGGGGTCTCACTTCATTCAAACTGCAATAAGCTTCTGCCAACAGAAGCTTTTAAAGTGTTCTTCTGTTGATATTCATGCAAAAAGACTCAACTTCCTCTTGTCCTAGATAAATTATTATTAAATATATGTTGAATTTAAACTATTCTCCCAATGGGAATCATGTTGAGTGTTCATGTATAAACCCATTTTCAAATAAATTAGCAAAAGGACCATACTCTCAGTCTTAAAATTTAGCTTACAGTGTTAAAGACATATATGAGATCCAGCAATGGGAACCAAAAAAGACTGATTCAGAGTGTTAGTAGAAACCTGAATAGTGTTGATTTTAGAAATTTCATGTATGCTCAGTAAAGTAGAGGGTCACAGCAATTTAGACAAATATATAAGCCATCAGTAAGGCTGCCTTGGAGGGAGTATAGTTGAATTTAACACTGTGTGGAGAAAACTTGATCAGTAACAATAATCACTTCCAGAGGAGTTCTGTGACAATGATGCCTAGTGGTAAAGGTGAAGTCTCTAGCCTGATCTTTCCTGAGGCCTAGCACTGGCTGGATCTCTAAAAAATTATTCACCATTATATGAACCAGTAATTTACACAACTTTAACACATTTATATATTCAGGGATGTGAGAAGAGTCACAACGATCAATTGATTGATACAGAGAGGTGTAACTTTTAAGAAACATCAATGCTTTTTGTTTGATAATCTTAGTAAAAGTTTATTTAAGAAAAATCTCTGATTTAATTCCTACAATAGAAGACATGCCAGGGACAGACTGTGTATCACTGCACATGGGACATGCTTTGCTTCTGACATTTCACTGGACAGACTCTCCACATACCTGTCATAAACCCAGAGAGCTTCAAGAAAACTCTTTCAAATGACATGAAAAAGCACGTTTGCTACAAGGTCATACATCCTCCCTTTTGAGAAAAAGAAATAAAGAAATAAATCTGCAGACCATGTTAATGGCTAATGCTGTTATCCCTCTGCGTTAGCACTTTGTCTTGAAAACTTCGGTCCAGTAGGTCTGCCTGTCTTCCAGCATATGTACACGGCTATGTACATTCATGGCTCCTGCTGGAAACAGATGGAACTCTTTGGAAAGCCTATACACGTGCAGGCACTAGGAAGTAAAAGACATTACCTCACTGAAAAGCAAGAAACACTAGGGACAAATGCTACTCTTCAAAGAGGCAAACAACATTCATCCTCCACTGTGTTACAACATTCATCCTCCACTGTGTTATACCATTTGCATAGTAAGTCACGGATAATAGACAACACCTGTCTCCCTTTCCATGTCGAGATCATTGTGAAATGCAACTTCGCTAATCAAAGCCTAAAACTTTAAACACAGCTGATGCCTTTGAGTAAAATCTATGCAGAACCCAGAGATGGATGTCAGTAATAAAATCTCTTAATTTCCAAGTCCCTCGCTCCCCGTCACCCTGCGTTTCAAAGCGCCGTGGTTTCACCTGCGTAAAATGCTGGAAGACAGGTTTCCCGAGGCGATCCCGCGTTCTCGCCCGACGTGGCGTACAGCCCTCCGGTTTGCCGGAGAGCGCCTCTCGGGGGCTGCTTGCGGACGGCAGCGGCGGAGGGGAGAGGCTCCCCTCGCCCCTCCCGCTCCCCTCGTCGTCTCCATCGCGCTCAGGGGCTGGGACCCCGCGGGACGGCGTCGGCTCCGGGATCCGCCTCTCCCTTTCGCGCAAGAACCACCTCGGCGGCCCGGGGCTGGGGCGAGGGCACAGGCGCCTGCAGGGGGAGAGGCGGGGCGGCCCCTCCCGGCACCAGGTATAAACCGGGGTTGCGGAGTAAGGACGAGGCTTGCTCTGCTCTTCGCCCCCGCCTCCGGCGCCGCCTCCCGCGGCCGCGGGCCGAGCAGCACCGGCGCCGCTGGACAGCGCTGGCGGCCCCGGGGCCGCTGCGGGCTCGGGGAGGAGGCGGACGGACCGAGCCTGGGAGGGCGCTCCTGGGGACGAGGGCAGGCAGCCGCTGTCCTGACGGCGTTCGCTGCCCGCAAGGCTGAGGATTTCTTGCTCACCTGCCCACCGGGACAGGCTCGTGCGAAGAGCTGAGGGGCAGAGCATGGGAATTTTTATTTCCCTCCGCCGCCGCTGCGCCGTTGGACATTCTTCTGCATTTCTGAAACGAGAGAACTCGTCAGAGAAGGAGGAGGAAGAAAGGCAGTAGGGAAGGGGGGAGAAAGTTGGTTGACTTGCAGAAAAAGAAAGCTTTCCAGTGGCTCCTACTGCACTTTGCACTAGAGACCCTCAGTCCACCCGAAGCTGGAGGATGGAGCCAGAGCTCTTGCCCGATCTCACAAGAATGCCCCTTGGGGAGAATGGGAGTGCCCACTTGGTGCCCGACACAGCCTTGCAACTCCCAGGGAAGGGCACGGCCATGTTCATCATCCGCTGTGTGATCCCGTCGCTTTACCTACTCATCATCACTGTCGGCTTGCTGGGCAACATCACACTCATGAAGATCTTCATTTCCAACAGTGCCATGAGAAGTGTGCCCAACATCTTCATCTCCAGCCTTGCTGCTGGTGATCTGCTGCTGCTAGTGACCTGTGTCCCCGTGGATGCCTCCCGGTATTTCTCTGAGGAGTGGCTCTTTGGGGAGCTGGGCTGCAAGCTCATTCCTGTCATCCAGCTCACCTCTGTTGGTGTCTCTGTCTTCACTCTTACTGCCCTAAGTGCTGACAGGTAGGAAAGTTGGGCTGCCAATTCTCAGCTCTCTGCAGCTTGGGCTGAGGCTGTTGGAGGTAGCATGAAAGTTAAAGTGCTCCTCTGGATAAGGTGTCCCTGGTTTGCAGTCCCCTTATTCCAGCTTGTCAGGTGGCCATGCTTCTCCTTCCCTCACTGATGATGGCAAGTCCGGTATTAACTGAAGTTAAAAGGTGTCTGGAAATGGGTGTGCCTGGGCCTTCAGCTTCCAGGGTGTTAGCTGCAAGAACTGGGTTTAACCCTGTCTTCTGCACTTCTGGGATGGTCCTGTAACAGCCCTTATACTGAAATCTTATTCATTTGAGGAAGGTTTTAGATGCCAGATATGACCCTTGACAACTCACAGTGTTAAGCTCACAGGCAGTGAGAAACTTAAACCAAGTGAAACACAGAGGTACTTTTAATACATTTGTTTCTTTCCACTGAGAAAGTGTGTGTGTGTGTGTGTGTGTGTGTGTGTGTGTATCTGTGCCTTAGTAGAAGAGCAGGTTACCAGAGGTGACTGCCAGAACTAGATTAGCTTCTGGGAATTCAGAGGCACCAAACTGTTCTGTTGTAATTGTCAGTCTTAAAATTTTGTTCAAACTATTCTTTTTGTCTTCTGAACTTTTAGAAAATGAGAAAAAAAAAAGAGATAATACCCCAAAACAAAGTAACACTTTCATCTCCAGTACTTGTCAAATTAGGAAGAAACAAAGAGCTAGATCCCTCATTTTCCCTCCCAATTACTGTGAATGGGTATTTAAGGAATTTACAACAACTGAGTGGCTGTTGGAGTGTGCTTCAGGCTATGAAAGACAAAATCTTGCAGTGTAATTGCAACCTTAAATTAAATGAAATTATCTTTCTTCTGTTATCTAAGCAGGGTTTTTAAGTTTTAAGATTTTTTTAATCTTAAGGGTTTTTTAATTTTTTTAATTTTAAGAAATTAATTTTAAGAAATTAAAATGTTTAATTCCTTCTTCATAGAAATTACCCCATTTTATTTTGTTGGGTTTTAAACTGAGCTACTGCATTATATTGGTGCATGATGTGAAGTCTTGAGTTTAGTAATATATCTTCACAATTACAGTAATGTTTCTTTAAAAATTGTAATCCTCTTTTTTATTAGGGTCTTTAATTTTTTTTTTTTTTTTGCTAATTCAGTAAATTGTTTGATTACACGGGAGGATAGTCTTCAGCAGACATCAATTTCAGTTGTGTTTGAATCAGGACCTAACATACTTGTCTAAAAAGACTTCGTAACTTATGAAAATTTGTTATATTTTTTAATAAGAGCATGCAAAACATACCTTAAAGTGAACATCTGTAACTCTCTGATTAACTCAGTTAAAGAGTATGCAAAAATCTGTCCTTAAAGAGCCAAGGAAGCCCTGCAGTTCTCTTTCTGCTCTATTTTGACTGCTTAAAATTATGATTGTGGTTGAAATCTTAGTTGAAAAGGGAAGAAGTTACTTGTAGTGAAGATCATCTCCCAGTGAAACATAATGTGAGAGAATGCCAGTGACTTAAGGATTCATTCATTTGCATTTTATATGCATTTGGAGCACTCATTATTTGATTTTTCCATATAATTTTATATCCTTCCTTTAATATCAGTAAAGATTCAAGAAGTAATAGTGCTGAGTCTGTTTACACTGAAAGCATTTAGAGTTGCACATACCAGAAAACAGCTTCAGTTTGTGTGCTGAGATTGTATAAGCTCATGATAAATACATTCCTCTAGCATTTTTTGCAGTTTGCAGCATAGACCAATATCAGAAATGGTTTATAGTAGGAATTTAACAAATCTGTTTCTTTAACTTCTGCAGTTTAATTTTTCACTACTGAGGAAAAAAAAACACAAGCATTTATTTTCCAGTCAGAAGATCAGCCACTGACTTCAGAGACCAGTCTCCTAGGGGCCCAAGACATTGCTGAGTGAAGCTGGCTGAACTGTCAGTGGAGTTTGGGTTGGAATCACATCTACTTTTTTTGTGCACTTGTGTTGAACTAGAGGGTTCACTGATGTGGAGGGGTTTGCATCACACTAATTTGTAGCCTGATCCTAACATGTGTCATCTTGACTAGATCAGTTATGGGTAATTATGATGGCAGATCAGGAGTGGTGGCAGCCAAGAGATGCTGAGGAGGTGAGGCCTGGCTGGGTGCAGTGTTTTCTCCAGATAAGTGAATATAGCATAGCATGTTTGTAAGCAGTGATGTCACTACGTGGGCTCCATTATAATCCAGTACATATTTGGTCTGATACACAATGTCTTCTCTATCTCTTTCACAGATAATGCTCAAGGTACATTTTAATATATGATAATTAAAGCCTTTCCTGCTTTTTATTCCCTGTTGCCATGGGACTGTATGGAATGCCAAACATTGATTACACTAAGGAACAGATTTAGGAATATTTAGAATTCTTTGCAACATGCCTGCGTGAATTAAGATAAGGAAGGTTGTCTTGGTTTCCACAAAGTAATTAGCACTTATTGCATATGTGGGAATTCTGCATGATGGTTTACATGTATGTTGATACATTTAACAAAAGCAGCTACAGAAGCTATAAACTCTGAATGATTGTTACTAACAAACCGAAGATTGAAGGAAGAAAAAAATAGTACTATTTGCATATATATATTTTCTAAAGTTGCCTAATTTCATATGGGTTTTTGTCACAGAAGTCCCTTTCAGCATCGGTAATGCTTTCTGTGTGACAAACATGCACCTTTTAAGAAAGGAAGCTTTGTTATCTTGTACTGAGATTGTTTGAGTTTTGGTTTGTTTGTTTGTTTGTTTGTTTGTTTGTTTGTTTGTTTTTTGCTGTGTGTACAAACATGATATGAAATTTTTAATTGTGCTTCCCAGACTTCCCCAGAGCGCACTTGGAGACTGAACTTAGCAGCACACAGCACATCTGTCCGAGGTTGCCCACCCCATCATAGGAATAGCAGCTGGTTCTTCCCATCCTTGAACTCCTGATGCTCTGGCTGACCAGGGAGTGGTGCCCAGATGCAGCCCCACACATGTTGGGGCAGAGAGGGATAGGAGGCCAGCAGTAGTGGTGGGGATGATGATGTCAGAGATGATACACTGGTGGTGCAGGCTGTTGGTGTCAGAGCAGGTTGCAATCTCCCTCTCCTATGGTGTGGGGAAGGATCTGTGCTGCTGAGCCAGCCATCCCTTCTCACTGCCATGCTGGCAGATGTGTAGGGACAGCACTCCTACCCCTCATGGCCACTCTTCTCTATTGTGGAGAAACCAGACCACCTCTGGAAACGTTAATATTTCTCTGGTTTATAAAACCGAGGAAAAAAGAGAAGGTGGATTACAGAAAGAGAAAACCTAGTAATTACAGTGGATGACAAATGAAAAAAAAGAAGGGGGCTGAAGGACAAAAATATACAAAACAACAAAATAAAAGGAACTAGGAGTGCCATAGGGCAGAACACCCGCAGCAGCACTCAGCATACCCTGAAAGTGCCCACAGGGCTGGTGTGTGATGGCCAGGGATGAACTTCCTGAAGATGTGATTGAACAAGGAATTAAAAATGGGCTCTCTGAGCTTGTTTCTCCAGGGTCCATGGACTGCAGTTTTGACCAGATCTAAAGGATGTTGCTGAAAAAGTCCCAGGGCTTGGTGTGGTCTTTGATAAGGAAGATAAAAATAAAGAGTTGATAAATGTTGCCAGAGGGACTGCAGCATGGCACACATGAAGAAAATGTGTGCCAATACCTCCTCATTGCAAAAAAGGGCAGAAGCTAAAGATGAACCTGGTTTGGGCCATCCCATGATTCACTGCTCTAAGGAGTACCTTCCAATTTATGTCCATGTTGGACCATGCAGTGAGCTCAAGATGCAAACTAGGCCCATGAGGCTCCTCACCGTCTTCTCAGAGTAAGACGTCTTGCTGCTTTGTTCCTGGGAAGGAGTTTAGGTAGGGCAAGGACATGTTCCTGGTAAGGAATCCAGGTAGGGTTTTCAGAGCTAGAGGTCTGAATGACACATAAACCTTGGTGTACAGAAGTGACTGGAAAAGCTCAGGAGGTAGGGATTTTAGAATGAGTTACAATGTGTGCCTTTGGCCATTACTGCATTATTGTGTGGTACCCACAAAATGCCAAGATACTGGAGTGAACAGACTTTGAAGGAATAAGTGTCAGTCTCTTCAAACAGTTCTAGATTTGTCCCGCATAGTCTTTCCTTTTCTCCTTGGCTGTCGTTTACACCTCATTTTTTATGTGATCTGTAAAAATAGGATTCAATTTAATTCTGCTACTTCTCCTACATTGAATTTGTTTTCTAATGAAGGATTTAAATGTGTTAGCTCAAATGCAGTCCTGCTACACTCTAATGGAGACAGCAAAGCTGAACTCACCCTGCTGCAGTTAAAATAGCGTCTTCATTGCTTTCTTTCTAAAAAGTGTGACATAAGGACACCTTTGATGAGACAAATACTTGATTAACCAGGTAAGAGTTTGAAAATTTAAATTCATACTTAAATAACTAAATACAGTGCCTGACTGAGAAGTTTAAAATATATTCCATAGATTTGCATAGCTAAACTATTTGATCTTTCGTTTGTTTTATTTCTTCGTTTATTTCCTTTAAATGTGTAAGATTGCAATCTGTATTTTTAAAACTGTAAAAGGGCCCAAAAATGGTTTTTGCAAGTTTACTATCTATGTGATGACTTCTGATGACAGCTGATAAGAAAATTCATTTTGGCTCAGTTTGCATGTGTGTTGTCTCCCATTTCTGGGGGACTAAGGAAGTGTTTTGAAGACACTCAGAAGTGTGAAAAGCTGCACTAATAACTCCTTTAGGTTTTTCCGTTAGTAATAGCTCCTTAATAAAAATTTCTTTTTACTCTTCTCAGAATTTACTTACAATTTCTTCATTTGTTATGGAAGATGCTGATTCAGGCTGAAATACAGTGATTGGAGAAACGTGAAATCCTCATTTCTTATTCCATGTGGTGGAGCAGGTG